TGATGGTTCTTTCCTCAGACTAGTTGAAGTTTCTGTGTGACAATTAATATAGATATTAAGTCTAATGCGCAGTTTGCGTTCTTCTGCTTAGTAAGAAATCATGTGGGATAAATAGTTAGTCATTTTCAGAAGATATGATTATTACATGTACCGTTAACATATTCAAGAAAGTTGGTTACCGGTATGTGGACTGACCGACAGCAAGATTTTGAAAACAACTGCTACATGTACCTTACTTACTTACTTAAATAAAATATTGTCACCTTTAATTTGCAATTCTTGTCTCCTTTTGTAGTCCTTTTAGTAAAAATCGATGGAAAAATATTTTTAATGATTATAATTAATTTAATATAGGAATTAATGCAATTGTTTTTAAAAAACAAATTGATATCAATTTATTCACATAGGCAGTACTAGACTTTCAAAAGATATGCTATTATTTAGGCAAAACTAGTCTATATGCAATTTTTTCAGATAGAATAGGTTCGCATTGAACAAATATAGCCTTTCAGAATAGTATGGCAAATATATTTGTTGTCCTTAACTATATATGCGCAGGAAAAGGAAGATTTTTATACATAATGTGAGTACTATAATGACTTTAAAGATCTGTAAAAAAGACATTTCATGAAAAATGTCAGATAGACTAGCATCGCGTTGACCACTTGATATTTACTTTATACTATAAATCAACTGCCATCATAAAAGAACACGACAAAACAATAAGTCATTTATTTAGAATGTACATAGTTTCAATATGATTTCCCGTGTACAAAAAGTTAATTCCTGTGGAACCTTTTATTTTCCATTGTTTAATTCTCAGTTATTTCTTTATTATCATTTTTATTTATAATTTTATATCAATATATACAAGTATAAAAAGACATTTGACTGGATTAAGACTTCAAGTGATTTTGGAAGTTTATGCGAAATCCAAGATATTTAGTTTGATATCATTATAAAGTTTTAAAAATAATGTTATCATTTCTTTCATATTTGATAAATGTACTGCAATAACATTACTTTGCTGCAATAGAAGTCAGAATTTTTGTCACAGTTGATATTTGAATTTTGTAATCTATGTCTTAAAAAAATAAAAGCAATGTTTTGTTCCGTATGTTATGCTGATGCTATAAAATAAACAAAAGGGTATTGATAGCTCTTATATCGCTCACCAGATTGTGTGAACGCTAAAATCCATTTTATTTGGACTGTGTGCCCTAGTTTTTTACTCTAGGTCTCCCATATTCAAAAGTGACTTACAAATCACCAGAACAACCTATCTGACCAATTTTAAGGATATTGGATGAAAACAGTAGTCTCTTGAGTCTTTATAATATTTTTCCATATTTCAACTGTGTAACCTAGTATTTGAACCCAAGTGACGCATATTGAAACCTCACCAATTTCCAGGATATTTGAACTGGAACAGTTGCAGCTAGGCTGTTCACAACGTGTTTCCATATTTGGGCTGTGTGGCCTAGTTTTTAACCCAACGAGGGATCCATATTCGAACATGACCTCGAAATTATCAAAATAACGTTTCTGGCTAATTTCCATGATATTTTGATCAAAACAGTACTTGTGTTAACAGGATTTTTTCATATTTAGACTGTGTGACCTACCTTTTAAACCTAATGGACCCATATTCGAACTTTACCTAGAAATTATCAAAACAAACTTTCAGACCAATTTCAAGGATATCTGGATCAAAACAGTAGCCACCAGAGTGTAAACAAAATTTCTCTATTTTAGCTCATGTGAGTTAGTTTTTCATCCGCGATGACCCATATGCAAATCATCCGAGCAATTACATTGACAAAAAGCTAGACTATTAACGAACTAATGTGGACGACATACATTCAACGATTCTGAAAGCTGGGCAAGAACAGGCGAAAAAAAGCTGTACATATTAAGATTAATAAGATAAAGTAAACAAAGTCTATGTCATTAAAATTACAGTTAATTGGCCTAATCATGAATATCCAGAACATCTAAAGACTACGAATTAACGTATCGTCTGTCAAAGATAGCGTCATTGTTTTGTAGATTCTTGCTTTCGTGTTTAAAAAATTGTTCCGCATTTCTTATTGAGTCTGCCGGCCTTATTTACTAAAATATCAACACAATGTCAATCATAACAGTTTTATGCAGGGTCAATGTGTTCCTGTTTTGGGATTTAATGTACTTGTATTCAACATAAATTACCATTACTTACTTCTTCAAGAAAGTAAATTTCAATAATTGCTTACGATGGCCGTGTTACATCCGTAAAAAAGTTGCCACGTTTTTTATGTTTATTGTCCTTCATGACACATATGTATTGAAGATTAAAAACTGCTTAAGTCGGTGCAATCCAATCCAAACCAAGCCTGCAATTTTCTTTCAATACTGTTATTTCTATTGCTTCCGAGGAACCACCCCTTTCCCATATTTTTAAACATATGAGCCCGGTAAATGTTTGGCCGGGTTGCACAGGACTGGTGCAAACAGTTTTCGCAGTAACTACTTATCACAGCCTCTTGATATTGAGCATACAACATTAACACGTGGTCCCGTTCTGTGGGATTCGATTTCAGTCTGTCACTCATCGACTTCCTGTTTACCGACTTAGTTAAATTTTCGACATTATTGGTCAATGGTAGGAAATTTTCGTAACAATTTTCTCAGCAACTGCTTATCACAGTCTCTATATATTTGGCATACAGCATTGACACATAGTCCCATACTGCGACATTCGATTTCAGGTCTGTCACTCATCCACTTCCTGTTTACCGACTTAGTTAAATTTTCGACATTAATGGTCATTGGTAGGAAAGTTTCGTAACAGTTCTCTCAGTAACTATTTATCACAGCCTCTTGATATTTGGCATACAGCATAGACATGTACTCCATACCGTATGATTTGATTTCAGGTCTGTCACTCATCCACTTGCTGTTAACCGACTTAGTTAAATTTTCGACATTGATGGTCAATGGTAGGAAATTTTCTTAACAGTTTTCTCAGCAACTACTTATCACAGTCTCTTGACATTTGGCATATGGCTGAGACACATGGTCCCATAGCGTGGGATTCGATTTCTGGTCTGTCGCTTATCCACTTCCTACTAACTGAGTTAGTTGAATTTCCGACATTAATGGTCAATGGTAGGAACGTTTCGAAACAGTTTTCTCGGCTGCAAGTACCTATCACAGCCTCTTGATATTTTGTATACAGTATTGGCATGTGGTCCCATACAGTGGGATTCGATTTCAGGTCTGTCGCTCATTTACCTTCTGTTAACTGACTAAGTTAAATGTTCCACATTAATTGTCAGTGGTAAATGTTTTTCGTAACATTACAGTGTATCATGATATTTGGTACAGAAATGCAACCCGGCCTTTTCTGTCTTTGACCCACTTTTAGATAATTGTGTTAAGTCGGAATTTAACTATTTTTCAACATTCAAAATTCATTTTGTAAATCGCGTAGTCAATATCTCAAGGTATATAAAACGGGGTCCGTTTATTTCCAGAACGGGACATTTTTCAGCAACATATTTCAATCGGAAAGTGTAAAGGGGAATCCCCGACTTCCCTGTTTGGAAAATACACCCGACTGTAGCATGACTTGTTACACAATTTTTTCGTTTTCTGCATAGACATTAATTTCATATCAATGAAAAGAAATATATACCTTAGATTATTGTACTAAATAACAGCGAAAATTGACTAGCCCTTTCCGATATGTTGTAACAGGCTGCAAATATATTATAGGAGTTTACATACGCGTCATCCTATAAACATTCGGTAAATTTGTTTGCAACATATCATCCTTAGTTTGAAGATGCTATATGAAGATTTGTATCGGTCATTGATTAATATCCGTTAGCCTTCACAAAGTGTTTCACACAATAATTTTAATTTATTTGTGCTCTATCGAATCAAATTTGAATTTTATTTTAAAATAATAAATATCTGGGTTTTTTTTTCAAGCAACTATGAAGATCTTGCTGTGGACGTACATATTCATGAGCATAGAATTAGTGATAACAAGCCAGGCTACAGAAAATATTACACTAATGGAGCAAATGCACACGGCTTTAGTTGATCTTTGTCCTGGTGCTGATGTGTGTTCTGAGGAAAGACAAAAAATCCAGAGAAACTTTGATTATATGACACATTCTGAATTCCGCTCATGTTGTACAGGTACATATACATCTATGCCAGTTAAACAGAATATTTTAAATTGATAAATGGTCAGTTAACTTCCAATCATCAATTTCGTTAGCTTTATCCTTTTTTCTATGAATTATATAAAGTTCTAACTAATGGTATAAAAATTACGTACATTCAGGGTTTCTTTCTATGATTGAGAAACAACAGGCGAGTCATTCATTTTGTCAAAAAATGTTTTTAGACCAGCAATTATTCAATTGCATTGATTGAATGTTCAGTTGTTAACGTGCAGTTCAGAAACGTATACTATGTTATTAAAATGTTAAATTGCACATGATCTAGTTAAGTTAATCTTTTAATCTTCACACCATAAGCATTATCTTATGATATGACAATGATGAGATATCATGGGTTTGAACCTTATATATTTTGAGATAATCGCCTTATTTTCAGTTCCCTTGTTTATTTTCCCCGCGTGTGTCTACTTTCATATAAATAATGATGAGTAATACCTAATTGCTATTTGAGACGTTTTCTTCATGTTATAGATTGTTCATGTGGACCGGATTGTGAAAAGAACGGCAATTGCTGTTTCCCAGAAACAGCAAAATACAACAATGGTTTAGATAATTATGAAGAAGAATCAACATGTTTGTTTCCTATGACAAATCAACCAGTAGGGAGTAAACGAATAGCTTATCAGTCATATTATATGGTAACCTCGTCGCTGGAAAGTTATAAAAATGGTACAAATTAAAATATAATACATCATGTGGGAGTGAACGCGTAGCACCATGGGGTAGCTTATATCCAGTCTATTCATCTACAACGAAAAAAGAATATATAAGAACGAAATGTGCGCTACAAGAAATGGTGTTACAGACGGAAAGCTTCTGGACGCAGTACTTTATTGTGCAAAAGAACAGTACTTTGACAATAAATTTATGGTATGGCCTAACACAAACAGTATTCCAGAAGACTGCATTGTGCATTTTATCTATCGTGGCAGCACAGAAGATATATCACATTTGAAATGCTATACAGATTTAATTGACACTTGTCCCGATGATGATTTTAATATATCTTCATTTGAAATAAGTCTTCAGAAAGAAAATGTCATTAAAATGTGTACAAGTGGGCTAGTTTCGCCATTTAAGACAATCAATATGTACGCAAATGTTTTCTGTCATATTTGCAATGAAGGGTTTTACGACGATATCTATTTTTGTGAAGTACACGACGGTAACGTTCTTCGAGCCTTTGACGATCGATCATTCCTCGGGCTAATTGATGGTATATTTCTAACAGAAAACAACAATGAAAGGAAGACAGAGAGTCAAAGCCACCCGATTATATGTAGTCCTGTAAAGGTTTGTCGTATTTGAAAAATAATGAAATACATTGCTCCGATATGATTTTTGTATTTGTAAGAATTGATAAAAGGAGATTTACACATGTTTCAATAACAAATGTTATATTCAACATGCGTTGGATGTTACAATATTCAACATTTTACCAGTTCATGTTAAATGTTGAATTAAGCCATTGTTAGGGGACTTGGAAGGTAGCCTGCAATTATCACTACCTTCCACGAACAGGCTCAATCAAAGCGAGCCTGCAACATTTTCATTCTTTTCCGTGTTGAGGTTTGTTTGGGGATTCTGTTGGTCATAATGTATTACATTGTTCAAATATGAAAACAAGCAGCTTATATTAGTTCATTATAATTTTGGTATATTAATCTTAAGTGATTAAAAAAAACAACATATTCTGCTGGTGGCAATAATTGATACTGGCCTGTGTTAAAATAATGTAAAACGATTCTTATTTTTTTATATCAAACTTTGCAATCTTGACTATGGGAAACCTTTGCTTTTTTATTATATTTTAATTATTTTTCCCATCGGAATCGTTCAACATGCATAAATTATTCTTTTTTGTTTATTCCAGACTGAAAAATGCAAAGTTGTACATTGCCCCACGGGACAACTTCGAACACTCAATGGTGAGTGTGCGTACTCTACAACGGTCTGGTATAACCAGGATTTTACGGTATATTTAAGTCTTAGCCTTACTGTCCCTATCAACGTTTACGATGTGTTTGAAATTTTGCCTGGAAAACGGATATTCAAATTACCTAATTTTAAATCACCTTGGCCGAAAAACTGGATTGTGACAGAACTCTATTACCGGAAGGGACCATATTATGATGGCCGACAAGTTACAGAGCTTCAAGTTCGCATTCAAAATAAAATAAATTCAGTTAATCCTGGGCACATCATGCACACAATAAAGACGTGTGTTTATAAACACTGGACATTGAAGACAAGAGATAAAATATTGGTGTTCCAATCTAGATTCCTGCCAAACATTATGACATTGCATACTTCACCGGACTTTTCATCGCTGTTCATTGGGGTTAGAGTCTTGATGAATGTATTTCATGTTACTCGGCTGTTTATTTGCGACCAGGTTGAACTTGATCATTCGGAGTTCAGTCTGACTGCAAGTGACACAATACTTCATACAAATGTATCAAATCGTAGAATGTTCAGTGGTGAGTTTACGTTAGTCTCAAGTCCGTCTTTTGATGGACTAAGGGCTAGGATATGCGTCGAAGATTTTGAATCGAAACGCTCAGGTGACAGAGCTTTATTTAGAATATGTCTTTTGGATTTTTTTTGCATGTTCCTGTGCTTTCAAAAATATTTTTTATAAAACTATTTAAAACCATCCAGTGTTAATTGTATGTATACATTTTGTGTTGTACAACAAAATTATTGTGAAAACGGAATCGGTGAAAAAAGACTCTATCGCTGTCAAACATCGATTTCTTTCTTCAAATTACATAATGTTCATATTTTACAATCAAGATTTAAACTTGTCGTGAAATACTTTTGTTTGAAGTCGGCTCGGCTTAAGTAGAATTATATGTGCGAATAAACGTTTAAAAGTTATTCTAATCTTTTCACTTAATTCATAAAATTCCTGTCTGTCAAATGTTTGTTTGTATGTAATACAGATTCGATTGAGCTAAGCCAAATAAAGGGATAATCAACGCTCGTCCCTTAAAGTGTAGGAGGGTAGATGGGCGGTTTTACGTGTATCTGTTGCGATAATTTGCAAATAGTTCCGAAGCCATCCGACGTATTTCGAAGGTTTCTGTGAACATTTGGGTGCTATCACTATAAATTAAAAAATGATGTAGGTTAGGAAGAAATTGTAATGTTAACATATTGCAATATCTACAGGAATTCATATCATTATATCAATTTATAAGATATCCTGGTTTTCTGTGCAGTATTTTAGCCGAATTTCATTTCCCGCGTTGAATATGGTACAATGAACTGACCATACTAATATTTTTCCAATCATCATTTCGAACGCGTCTTGACGAAACAATATGACTTTGGTTATTAATGGTATATTGCAATATCTACAGGAATTTATATCACTAATCAAATTATCAGATATCCTGGTTTTCTGGGGGGTATTTTAGTCGAATTTCATTTCCGGGGTTGTGAATGGTACAATGACCATCCTAATATTTTTTCCATCATCTCTTTAAACGCGTCTTGGCGAAACAATATGACTTGGGTTATCAATGCTTTTTGGTTTTGCATCAATTAATTGATTATTGGAGAATTCAGACCTCTCCACAGCAATGAGAATGATCAACATCCATATTTTGAAATTAATGACTCTAATCTAAAGCCTAAAGTCATTATAACCATTCTACAAAAGTTTATTATGCATATGCTCCGCTTCCAAATACGACGTAATCGAAAACGTAAACACTAAGCTACAATATCATCAGGTACTTTTGAGTGAATTTTGTACTATCGGAGCATCTGCCAATTATTCCTAGTAAGATATTCTTCAGAGAATGACGGATATAGCAGATAAGTAGCCATTGATTGCAGATGCAATTCGACCAATCAGATATTCTTACTTTCCCGCCATTTTTTGACAATTAAACAAATCTTCTACAGCTTCAAAATGACCTATCGGATGTTTCTTTTTTAAGAAAAAACTTGTATGCTAAAAACTGTAATGGATTATCGTAATCTTTACTTTCACCTGACCAAAGACCCTAAGTGAACATTTCAGCTTTTCTGAATCAAAAATTTAAGACAAGTTCCAAGCATTCCCGTTTTAAACAAATCCGAATTTTGTCCTCTTGTAGAAGCAAAGAACATATATCAATAATAAAAACATCATTGTAATATTCCACAATAGCACGAGACAGAAATTTTAATTCGTTCATTTCTTATCATTCACTTCATATAACATACAACGTTAAAATTGAAATTACCATCATAAAACAAAATGATTACGCAAATTTAAAGCCAAAATAAGACTTGGATGCAATGATCATGTTCTGCCAATCATGGGACAGATGTGTGGTTTATTTAGAGAACAAGTACAGAGACTGAAAACAGTTGTATTTGCGACTAATTCATCTTATTTAATTTATTAACTTCTCTAATTTGGTGCTCCTAATTAGCAACCTATGATTGAAAACTAATAGTGTAGTAGTGACACTAGAAGTATCACCACGAGCTTGCAGAACTGGCATAGAACATTTTATGTTGAACCTTGCAGAGGACAGCTTAAAAAGTATATAACTGAATGATGGCAAACTGGATGAGCATTTTCTGTAATTAACATTACTTTTGATATGTTGCCAAATGAAAAATGTAAATCAAGCAAATAAGTGGGATTAAGAATGCTATAGTTTGAACAGAACAGAACAGAACATACGTTTTATTAGACGGCGCGTGCACGCGCCGTCTAGTAGATATGCATTTGTCCGTATAGCATTGGGGAAAATTTTAGACTTGATTTTTTGCATTATTTTTGTTTTAACAAAATCACATTGTTTTCAATTTTTCTAATAAAAATAGCTTTTCTGATGTACAACATGTCACAGAGCTTTAAGAGATTAAAAAAAACGTTTAACTGAAGTGATAGTGTCATGTTTGAATATCATTTTCTTTTTATAATTATCTACTTTATCTACCTAATAAAAACGTGCCAATGAGCCAGTCTATAGTCGATCGTTCTAAAACTTTACCGTTGAGAGAGGTGACTACTGAAGCAGTGTCACTCACTCCATTTGCTCCGCCTCTGTTGAAGTTCGTCTCCGCCTTAAATTGTCGCAAAATTTAATATGCTAGCATTTAGTCTTCGTTGACGGCAAAACGTGTGCAACATGTAATTCGTGAAAATAATTAACATTTGAGTTATAAAACAGATTAACTGAATGAAAAAAGTACGTTTATTTTAAAACGTATCACAAATATTTCCCGACGATTATTCTCCTTTGCCTATTTTTTACATTTAGTGGTCCCATACCTAGATTCTGGGCGAATATGCAATCTTTTGTAAATTCAAGTAGTTTAATCTTTTATAAATAAGTAAACAATACGTAACAAAGAATTAATTATATATATCAATTTATTCATAACTATTATTTGATATTACAGACATATTTTCGCTATTTCAAAATAACAGACAGTTTGTCCTCAAAATCATTTGAGCATTATTCAATTCGCACCAATATTTAAATGGACATATTCTCGGCAAATATTGTCTTGAATTTATTTTAAGTTTAAAAATAATTTCAATTTCTTTTGTTATCCTCAACCAGTCGTTTTAATCTAGTGTCGCAACAGACAAACTTTTCACAATTTCAGACACATACCAAGAACATGGAGAAAAAATTGATTAGTGCTACGGATATTCAGTTGTAATCGAGAACGATTTTCAATTCTGATTTTGTACATTACCTGTGACTGTTCACATCATCTTGCGGCGTCTTTGATATGGAGCATCAACATTTAACTTGTTTAGACTTGTACATAGTAAATCGTCATGCAAATAGATAAATAAAACATGTATCTCATTACGTGATCATGGTTACACAAAGTACAATATGATACTTAGAATATATAAAAGAATGTACATTGTTTACAAAAATAATGTTATGAGTAATAACTAAATATTTTCTCAATCATGGCAGTAATAGAAATTCTACTGGCAACCTCACAGGATATTGTATACCATATTTTACCCAGTGAGTCTAACCATCCCACTGAAAGTGATAAAGGCGAAGGATAGATGTTAACCAGCAGCAAAATTAAATACTTATTGAGCAGTTTCTTTTCTAGATAGAGAACAGTATCATTAAAAGTTATACATGAATACACACAAATATCATATGATAATGTTTCAAATAAGAGAAAATACCTTTATTATTTAAGAACAATGCAGGATTACACAAAAAAAACATGATGATATGATATATGAGAATTGTAAAATTTGTTTTTTGTTTTCCACGAGGATGTTTAAAAAATCAAATATTTAAGAGAGTATTTCTGATTGCAAACTTTCTTTAATGTATCTTGCTAATTTCATTAATAAAATCTTGTTTTCAGTAACTGAGTTATATAATGTTGTATAATTGAATGTAAAATAAATATGGCATCAACAGTTAGACCTGCCTTTTCTAAATCCAAACTGAGCATCTGAGATTACATGATAATTAATTTCACAAAATGCATCTAATCGTTTATTTAAAATAGATGAAAAAGTTTAGAAAGACAACTAACAAGGGTAATTTACGAAAAACCTGTTGTAACAATTCAATTTCATGACTTACCGATTTCAGCTTCATTAATTCTCGAATTCACAATTTCAACTTCATGAATTCACGATTTCAACTTCTTGAATTCACGATTTCAACTTCATGAATTTTACTTCGCGAATTCACGATTTCAACTTCACGAATTCACGATTTCAACTTCATGAATTCACGATTTCAACTTCATGAATTCACGATTTCAGTTTCACGAATTCACGATTTCAACTTCACGAATTCACGATTTCAACTTCATGAATTTAACTTCGCAAAATTCACGATTTCAACTTCACGAATTCACGATTTCAACATCATGAAGTCACGATTTCAACTTCATGAATTCACGATTTCAACTTCACGAATTCACGATTTCAACTTCGGGAAGTTGAAATCGTGAGTTCATAAAGTTGAAATCGTGAATTCGTGAAGTTGAAATCGTGAACTCATGAAGTTGAAATCGTGAATACATGAAACTGAAATCGTGAATTTGTGAATTCCTTATGTTGAAAACGGGAATTCACGAAGTTTAAATTGTGAAGTTATGAAAATGAAATCGGGAATTCATGAAGTTGAAATGTCCCTACCGGTCTTTCGTAGTAATTCCTCTATAATTTTGTACATTATTAACATCGCCCTTTTTATGTATAGGAACAATAATTCCTTCGATCCATTTATCTGGAAAAATCCCAGTCAAACATTGCATTAAATATATCACACATATGTGAACCCAAGATATCTATGGATTGTATAAAGTATTTATTTAAGAGAAAATCGGGACCTGCATATTGTCCCTTTTAAGAGATTTGACAGCTTCCAAAATTTCAGTAATTGTAATAGGCATATTCAAGTCATTGAAAGCACAGTCAGAATCATAAAAATTATGTTCTTCGCAAAAAACATTCGCTTCTTCATTTTTACGTTCAAAAACGTCGTTATATAAATGTTTAAAATGACTATAAAAATGTTCTTATGTAATTCCATTGTTTTGTGCTAAATTTTGTTTCCTTTAAAGTACTTCCAAAATTGTTTCGGTTTGCTGAACCTCATTTTTTCTATATCTGCATATTTGCTTCTTAAGTAAATAATTTTTATTTTTTATTATTATATTCTTATACTCTTGTTTACATCTACAAAAATATTCTCTACTTGATCTTGTTGTACATCC